CCTCGTTGAAAAAGAAAGAATAAAATATAGAAGCTAATTTTATATATCAAAATTATGATAATTAAAACTAATAACTTCTTAGCTTTTTTATTTAGAAATAAGAAGTTTTATTGCATCATGATAGTTATAATTTTTTTGTTAAATATTTATTTATTTTATTTGTTTTGTATTTATAAAGAATATATGGATAATACCAAATTCATAGATGGTTTGAACATTATAGATGAGAATTTATGCCTTGTAGATAGTACAACGAAGCATATACTATACTTAAAAATAAAAGCTATTTCTTTAATTTAATGATAAGCAAATCTAATGTTAACATTGTATCCGGTAATGTCAATTTAATTGAAGGCTTCGGAAGAAAAAATATATTTTTACTTGTGGAAAAATTTTGAATATAAATGATGCATTATTCTCTCCTAAGTCCTATAGAAATTTGTTGAGTTTCAAAGATATTCGTTTAAATGAATATCATATTAAGACAACAAATATTGAAAATATTAAATACTTATATATTACAAAAATTACATTGAGTAGAAAATATATATTAGAGAAATTATTTACTTTGTCATCCGGCATTTATTACACAAATATTCAAATGATTAAAATAATATTTATAGTAAACTAGAAGTTTACTAATTCTTTTATTCTATGACATGATCAGTTGGGCCATCCTGGATTCATTATGATGCAAAAAATTATTAAAAATTCATATAGGCATACATTGAAGAACTAGAAGATTCTTAAATCATATGAATTTTCATGTCTACATGTTTTCAAGGTAAATTTATTATTAAGTCATCACCAAATAAAATTAGGATTGACTATCTAGTATTTTTAGAATGCATTCAAGGTTATACAAACCAATTCATCCACTATGTAGATCATTTACATATTTTATAGTTTTAATATACGTATTCATAAGATGGTCATATGTATGCTTATTATCAACTCAAAACCCGATATTTTCGAGATTATTTACTTAAATAATTAGATTATGAGTATAATTTTTAAATTATACCGTTAAAATAATTTACTTTGACAATGTTGTTGAATTTGCTTCTCAAGTATTTAATAATTGTTGCATATATATTGGAATAAAGGTTGAACAACATGTTGCTTATGTCCATACTCATAATGATTTAGCGAGAATCATGTATCAAAAGTCTCTAATTGATAGCTAGATCAATACTTATGAAAATAAGATTTCCTATTTATGATTTGGGATATGCAATTTTACATGCAGTAATAATTGTTCACATAAGGTTCATAAGGTATCGAAATTCTCTCATTTTCAATTGATTTCTAGTCAAAAGTCTAATATTTCTCATTTAAGAATTTTTGGATGTACAATATATTTCTCATTTAAGAATTTTTGGATGTATAGTATATGTCTCAATTACTCTTTCACAATGAACTAAAATAGGCTCTTAGAGGAGATTGAGAATATATGTTAGATATGAATTCTCTTCTTTAATTAAATATCTTGAATCATTAATAGAACATATTTTTACAACTCAATTTGTCGATTGTCATTTTGATGAAACAATTTTTTCAACAATAAGAAGAGAGAATAAACAATTGAAAGTGTTGGAAAAAGAAGTTACATGGTATACTTCATCTTTATATCATCTTAATCCTCGTATAAAATAATGTGAACTTAAAGTTTAGAGGATAATTCATTTACAAAGTCTTGTAAACTAACCGTTCGGATGCATTTTTGATTTAAAGAGAGTAGCTAAATTACATATCCCCGCCGAGAATGCTCTTATTAGAATCGATATCCTAGTAGGACAATCTATTAATGTTATAACAAATGAATCTAAAGCACGCTCGAAGCATGGAAGACCGATCGGTTCTAAAGATAAAAATTCTCGAAAGAAAAAAAAATCAAGATGAAAATATAAATGAGGTAGATAAAACGGTCCAAAATACTTTTGATAACGAGGCTTCCAAAAAAGCCTAGATACTTAAGAAAAATTAAGAAATTTTGATAAATTATGTTAATACGGGGAGAAAATAAGACTCGTAAAAAAATATTCATTGATAACATTTTTGCATATAATATTGCAATTGATATTTTGAATAAGGATCTCAAGCTTAAATCTATTAAAAAATATTGACATAGAGATGATAGGCCTAAATAGAAAGATACAATTCAGCTAGAATTAAATTCTCTCATGAAACGAGCATTTTTTGACCCATAATCAAAACACACGAAGACGTTAAGTCAATAAAATATAAATGAGTATTTGTGCGAAAATAAAATGAAAAAGATGAAACCACGAGATACAAAACAAGACTTATAGTGCAAGGATTTTCACAAAGACTAGACAATAACTAATGAAGAGACATATTCTCTTGTAATTGATGTAATTTTATTTCGTTATCTCGTTAACTCTGATAAAATATATAAAAAAATTCATATGCATGCATTTAATAGATGTGATCACGAGCTTATTTGTTCACCTAAAATGATATTTATATAAAAATCCTATAAGGACTTAAAATGCCCGAAGTACATAATACACATTTCTAATAAATATATTCAATTAAATTATGAAGATCTTTATAATGATTATTTTAATATATTTTTTTATTATTTTAGTGGTTAGAAATTGAATTTATGCTATGGTTTTTATATTTTGTTTTTATTTTTTAACATCTATTGTTTTTTATTACTAACTTACATGCATTTGGTATAATTGCCTTAATGAATACTTATTGATAGAAGGTTATAAAAAATAATTCAATTTGCTTATCTATTTTTATAAAGAGATTTGAAAAGGGGTTTGTAATAATTGCTGCATATATTGATGATTTAAATATTATTAGAACTCTCGAAGAAATTCTAAGTTTCATAAGTTATCTAAAAAGAGAATTTAATATGAAATATCTTGGAAAAACAAACTTTTATCTCGACTCGCATTTCGATCACTTAGAGAATGAGCTTTTTATTCATCGGTTAATTTATATAGAAAAAGTTCTACAATAATTACATATAAAGCTCATCCATGGACTAGTTCAATAGTAATTCGTTTATTTGATATCAAAAAAGATTATTTTTTGCATTGAGAAGATAACGAAGAACTATTTGATCGTAAAGTACCATAGCTTAGTGTAATTAGTGCATTGATATATCTTGACAATAATACTCAACTCGATATAGTCTTTTATGCTAATTAATTAGCAAGACATAGCTCGCTCCAATACGGAGACATGAAAATAGAATTAAATATTTTGTGTTATCTCCGAAAAAAATTGATATGATATTTATTTTACTTAAATAAATCAAAGTTAGATTTAATTGGTTATGCGGATGTATATTATTTATCCGATACATACAAAACTCGATCACAAACGTGTTATATATTTATATATGTCGATGCAGCTATATCATGACGTTTATGAAGTAAATTATAACTGCTACTCGATTCAAACCATAAAGAAATACTAGCAATTCATGAGACAAGTTGAGAATATATTTGGTTAATATCAATAACCCATTATATCCTAGTAGACATGTGATTTATCTACTAGTAAATAAATTCAACAATATTATATGAAGATAATGTTGCTTACATAGTTCAATTAAAAAAAGAATACATCAAAATGACAATCTAACGGACTTAGTCACTAAGTCATTATCTATCATAACTTTTGAGAAAATAGTTCACAAGATTGAGATGCGTCGTCTTAAAGATCTTAAATGATGTTTTCAATATAGAGAGCCCAACATAAAGTTTAATGTGTACAAAAAATATTGTACTCTTTTTCCTTTATTAAGATATTTTTTCACTATTTTTTTTATTAAGCGTTTTAACGAGACATGTTCCTTGTACAATGAATATTTAAGAAGGAGTATTATGAAATAATGAATATTCATAATTATTTCACATTCTCACTACTCATTTTAATTCAACTTATCATTTAATATAAGAAATTGAAAATGTGTTGCAATTGATTTAATTATTTATACATTCTTTAATGGTTTATGGTCCATTCTAATTTTGTTTTTTCTAATCTTGAAGCCTATAAATAGGATTGATTGTTCATTAGTTTGAGTATATGTGTTTTATAGAGATTGAAAAAATTATTTAAATTTTTTATTTTTTATATTTACTTTATTTCATAGTGAACCATCTTTTTCTTCAATTTTGTTATGTCCTTATTTATTTTATAAGAGGGAAATCTTTTTTTTTCTTTTAATATGGATAAAGGATGGGTATGGTTATCTGAGTAAATTGTGGAGAAGAAAAGATACAACGTGAATGAAGACACGATAATGAAAATGATACATCCAACTGCCCTCGAGAATTCAACAATAATGCATTCACATTTCGGTATCTGGTCAAAGCCTTGTTATACAAGCATTAATAATTTTAAAAGCAACCATACCTGTAACCTAGAAAACGAAAAACCAACATTGGACCAAAGGTCAAAAGGTCTCTATGATGATGATGAATGATCAACTTGCCCCTTTGGCCCCCCAAGTCGTACGTTTTGTTTGGAAAAGCGTAAAATGGAAGGAAAGAAAGCGAGAGGGGCGAAGAAATACAAATTCTCATTATTTTCCTGTCCTTTGTATTTCCTTCATTTTCTTTCCTCCCCCATTTAGCTGCCAAACACAGTGTAACAGCACTTATCTTTTTTCAACAGTAGCAGCACTAATCCCTGACCAACAAATCTAGTGTTGATGTGGCGGCTACCTCTATCCCTCTTGCCACCCCTTCCTGGAAACTTCATTACTCAGTATTCTAAGACTTTAAAAATCACTCTGACTCGCTATTTTCCTTTAAATAAGCGGGTGGGAACTCCTGCAGAGGAAGAAGAAGAAGAAAAACCTGTGGTTTGGTTTAACTGAGGTACACTACAATTCTCTGCACCTATTCTTTTAATATCAAACTTTTGATTTTCCTGCAGGACTGTTGGTTTTGATCGATTCCTGAGCCATTTAGTTTCTTGCCTTGTTTTCTTTTGATTTTCCCGGATTGTTCATGGATACCCTTTTCCAAGAATATCCAAATTCCACGAACAGATTCATGTTTGACCATGCTTCAGTTTCTTTCTCTCCAAATAGGATTTTGTTTAATGGATATGAACTCAATGATACCTTGAGGGATCCAAATCCATCTTTTAGTTCTTTCAATCCAAAACCTCCTAATGACTCAGCACGACCTTCTTCTTCGAACTCAAGCTCTGAAGGATATGGTCCAAGCAATAATGTTACTCTCAAGTTCATAAGTGATGTGCTTTTGGAAGAGGACTTAGAGGGTAAGACCTGTATGTTGCAAGATTGTTTAGACCTCCAAGCTACCGAGAAACCCTTCTATGATGTCCTTGGTCAGGAATACCCCTATTCGTCCAATCAAATTATTTCTTGTCTCAATCAAAATGTTGAAAGCCCGGATGGTGGTTTCGCTTGGAGTAGCAGTATTGGTAGCTGCAGCAGCTATCCTACTGCTAATAACTTGGTTGAAAAATCCGATTGGGTTTTTGATCAAGATAATTTAGACATATCTCAAGTGCAAGCCTCACCTGTTTTTTCCCTTGAAAGAACCCTCCTAGAACCAGATTTCCAGAGTCCGGCGTACCCTTTTGAGGTGCTTAGCAAAGGGGCAGGAGAAGCTGGCAATTTCCGTTCTCGTAGTGATTATTTGATGGTGTCTTCAAAGAGCAACTCCTCCAACCCTCCGGACAAGGAGGAGGGAGACTACTCACCAAATAGTTCACGGGGAAGGAAAAATCACCAGCGCGGTGACGGTGATGATTTAGAAGAAGAGAGGAGCAAGAAGCATTCTGCACTTTCTCCTGCAGAGTCTGAGCATTCAGAGTTGTTTGATGAGGTATTGCTTTGTCCAGGTGCACAAAATGAGTCTGCATCATGTGCTCTTCAGGACAAGTCACAAAATGGAACAGCTGGGTATGAGCAGAGAAAAGGGTCTAATGGTAGAACAGCACGAGGAAAGAAAAAGGGAAAGAAAGGAGAAGTTGTCGATTTGAGTTCTCTCCTCATCCAATGTGCACAAGCTGTGGCAATCGGTGACCAAAGGACTGCAAATGAGCTACTTCAGCAGATAAGGCAACACTCTTCTCAATTGGGTGATGCAAACCAAAGATTGGCACATTACTTTGCCAATGCCCTTGATATACGTGTAGCCGGCACTACGACACCTGCATTTACACCAATTGTAGGTCACAGAACATCAGCAGCTGACATCTTAAAAGCTTACCAGGTATATGTTAGAGCATGCCCATTCAAAAGGATGTCTAATTTCTTCGCCAACAGGACAATTCTCAAACTGGCAAAGAAAGCGACAAGACTACACATAATTGATTTTGGCATTCTTTATGGTTTTCAATGGCCTTGCCTAATCCAGCGTCTCTCAGAAAGGCCTGGTGGACCTCCCAAGTTACGTATTACAGGAATTGAGCTTCCCCAACCAGGTTTCCGGCCTGCAGAAAGGGTTGAGGAGACAGGTCGTCGCTTAGAAAGATATTGTGAGAGGTTTAAGGTCCCTTATGAGTATATTCCGATAGCAAAGAAATGGGAAACCATCAGATATGAGGATCTCAAAATTGACAAAGGCGAGATGATTGTCGTCAACAGTTTATATCGGCTAAAGAACCTCCCCGATGACACCACTGTGGAGAACAGTGCAAGAGACGCTGTTTTGAAGTTGATCAACATGATCAAACCCGACATGTTTATCCATGGGATTGTAAATGGTACTTTCAATGCGCCATTCTTTGTCACTCGGTTTCGAGAGGCACTCTACCACTTCTCCTCATTGTTTGACATGTTCGAGGCAACTGTGCCTCGCGAAGACGAAGAAAGAATGCTGTTTGAAAAGGAGCAATACGGAAGAGATATCACCAATGTGATAGCAGCTGAGGGTACAGCAAGAGTTGAAAAGCCAGAGACATACAAACAGTGGCAGTCTAGGAATCTGAGAGCTGGGTTCAGGCAACTTCCTTTAGATCAAGAGCTTTTCAAGGAAGTGAGATCTGTGGTGAAATCAGAATACGATAAAGATTTTGTTGTTGATGCAGATAGCCAGTGGATGCTACAGGGATGGAAGGGGAGAATAATCTATGCTCTTTCAGTCTGGAAACCAGTCCAGGAGTAACAACATAAATCTTTCTATGCCTAGGAATACTTAGAATTACTGGTTTTTGAGATCCTATTAGAAGTTGTTCTACATGATTATATATATTATATTTTACCTCAGATATCCTAGTATTGATTTTTTTTTTTTGTAAATGAATGGGGCTTGCATTAACTTTATCGTCCTGGCAATGATTTTGTTACTATGTTCTCCATCTTCGGGGTCTAATCTAACGAACATGCATATTCTAGCCAAATCAAAATACATTCAAAATCCTTTGCTGCTGTCCGCCGTAAACTTTCACTTTATTTAGACTGCCTTTCTAATCTGCTATTCTTTTGCACATTACGGCGGTCAATTATCAGTGAACTCTGGGGAAAGTAACAAAGAAAAAAAACAGAAAAAATGAGTAAAGAATGATGCTGTTTCAATTGGGTTGAACTTGACTGACCCATCTAAAGTGGACACCATTTCCGTGTCCTGTCAAAACTTCAGCTCTCATAGTTGCAAAAAGGTTCTCGCCGCTGAAGTCATTTCATTCTATCATACGGTGGCACATGAAATAGATTTCTTTCAATTAATCACATCCATCATTGCATCTCTCATTCCAAGCTATAAAGATTCTCTCATACAAGCTCCGTAATTAGCAATCAACATGGACTTGCAACATCTAAGTTTCCTGAATAACTTCTAAACAGCTTTGGTCGTTGCTTGTTAAGACTGTCTAGGAATAACAAGTTGCTTAAACATATCAATAATGCAAGAGTGCACGTCAAAGACACAGGTCTTGAAAATTTTCAGAAGATCAGGAGAGTTTAGGCAACAAGTTATAGGAAAGACGGCTGGAGAATTGGGCATTGCTGAAGGTAAAATACTACGCTAGGAATTGGGGTGAACCTTGGCGAGAGGGAGAGATTTAACTCTTTAACAGAACACTGAACACCTATTGTAGATGAGAGATACATGAGCTGCTAATTTCCTGAAAGTTTACCAGGCCCATTCAAGGGAATGGCAGAAAAAGATTTAAACCTTCACTTTTTGGTCTCCTCCCTTAACTTTCTCTAGTTGTTCCTGTATTTGTCCAATCTGTGCAGAAAATAGTGCATGAATCACGGTTCTTGGGATGAAAATCCATTTCATTACACATGCCGATGTTCCAAGAGAAACTCCCTCTAAATCCCCGCGATTCGTTGTTCCATATCAAAGTGATTCCAAATACTGCAACCGTGAAAACCCTGTAGCATTTAAGCCCCAAAGTTGTCACAGAGATCGTCCAAACAAAATTATTCCAGTCACGAAGAAGCACCCAAACCCAGGAAAGCTAACCGATTGACTCCCAACAAAGACCAATGCAGAAGAACTTCGAGGAAGCAAAAAGGTGGCGGCTAAAAAAGGCATATCCAGGGGAGACAAATGCATAACCATTGGTGATGTTTGAGGATGAACAACTTTTGTCCATCAGGAAAATTTGAACATATCAATCTGGTCTCCTTCCCGAGAGCAATGGCTTTGCCTTGTTTCCTCCCATTGACATTACTTTATTAAAGCTAGAAGAGCAGAAGCACAATTTAAGGCAAACAATTATTATTGTAATTAACTAACTAGTTTAATGAAGGACAAATGGCATATTAAAACTTTGATTTTCATTCAAACAATTTGAAGCATATGAGGTATATGCAGCTGCATTTGCAAGAAAAGACCACGGATCAACCAGTGACATCGAACATACTAAATGTCAATACAGAAGGCTGGACAGAATGACAAACAATCCATGCCCTCAGGTTTACTAAAAGAGAGAGTGAGGGGGGCAACTCTTTAATCAATGAATCAGAAAGCTCAACAGAAAAATCTGATCATTAATGATTCGACAACATGTTTACACAATCTCTTCATTTTGTAAGAGTAAATACTCACTAAAAAAGAAAGCTGAAGGGCTAGAAGGGAAGTACACCCAGTTACAGATACAAATGCTCAACCTGAGATAATGAGAAAAGAAATTCCATGATTACCTAGGGAATGACCTGCATATGCTCACCCTCTTTTATTTTGATTGTGTTGACTTTTTGGTCTGAGAACACTCCAGTCCAGCTTGTCACGCTTTGGCTGCTTGAAGGAGCCTTTACTGCTATTTGATGATGATTGGTGACCATCTTGAACCATTTTCGGTGATTTATTTTGATATTGTGTTACTTCAGGTTGTTTTCTTTTATGATCTCCATTTGCCTCAGAATTTAGTTTAGCAGTGTTTGAGCACTCTACCCCATCCAGTGATGTTTCATTTTCTCTGAAAACAGAGAAGGAAGATGCAAATTAGAGGAAAATAAAATCCACATGACGAATTGTGGAAGTAGATTTAATTTTTAAATAATTAAACCACTTGCTATCTGTTTTCATTTGTTTATTTAATCATTTGTCCACTCAAATTATTCACTCCTTAACCTACTGCTAATTATTGTTGTAACTCCCATGCAATCAGAGAGTCAAAGGAAACTAGTAAGTAGATACAAAACAAGTTTTAATTACACACTAAACAATCCCAATTCAGATGGTCTCACGCCTACCAACAGAAATAAGCTATGAAGCAGTCTTATGCTGCCATCTTGCTATGATGCCACAATTTCTATCAATTGTACAACAGCATTGCAAAGAAAAACTTTAGAATTGATATTCCAAGTTTCGAATTGACCACTCCAATAGCATCACATGTCCAGCACGTATCAACTGATAGTTGCTCATCCTGGGTATGAAACATTTTCTTTTCTTTTCCATTTTCAGATATAAGATTCACGAAAGCCTCTTTTTTCTTTACTTGTAGAATTTACTAACAATCATTAAAAGACAACTATCAAGATAAAAAAAACGAGATTTTGGGAGATCAAATTACCCACCTCAAAGATGTTTTTCCACTCTGACGGCTGGAAGTAGAGGCATGTGCATCGGATGCTTCATTTGCTGCTGCTTCATTTAGTTTCTGCAAAGATAATGGTTTTGACACGAGAAGAGCTGTGAGCACAAGCCAGAAGAAGCTTGGAAGTGACTATTCATTGAATAAAAATTTCAGGTCACTTGACCTTCATACTCACATCGACAGATGGATTGAAACTTTGAAATGACATCCGGCCTAAAACTGCTCCTGGGTGAGGATCCCCTTCCATTACTACAACACTGCACATGTTAAAAACATTAATCAAAGTGATCTACTCCAAGCATAAATCGGTGGTATCAGCTGGCTATTGGCTAAGCATCAGAGCTACTTAATTAAGAACCTAGGGACCTCAGTTTGCAACATAATGGCCCTCAAACTCAGACAGCAAGTAACTAAGTATCACCAAATTAACAGATTCGGCAATGACATGAAGGACCTTGGTTGAATTACAAGGGCATCTAAAGCACTACTTCAAGACTCAGATTGCATATACTAAGTAAATAGAAGCGCTTAAGTATCAAGTTATCAGCCTCAATCAATTTACTAAGGTCTTCCGGTGTCAAAACTACAACCGTGCAGCACAGAACCCAATTATACAAAAGATGCAACTTTAATGCAATGGCTTATATTTATACTAAAGGCAAGCACTATTCAGCAACCAAAAAGACCAGAAATTTTTCTAAGAAAATCTTTTTCTAAGAAATTTCAGATACAATGCTGTATTTCATTCATTCCTTCACTCATCCATTTGAGAAGGTGCCATCTATAAAATAAGTATTAAATAACAAGATCGGCCAAAGTCAAAAACCATGTGTATATGTTTATGCTTAAGTATGCAAGTATCCAGTCAAAGCACAAATCAAAACAAAACCATAACCTATAAAATCGACATACAGAAATTAGAATTCAAGGAGCAAAATGGGACTTAACATATAGGAATAAGCATATGAATACAAGATTACCACTTCTTAATGGTACCAGGGGAAAAGAAATTCCCATCAGGTTTGACCTCTTCTTCATGTTTCTTAGTTTTCTCCTCTCTCTGAACTGCTCTTTGCATAAACTATTATCCCAACAAAAGAGAACCCATAATGTAACAAGCTTAATAGTGACTAATTCATATTTCGAAAACAATTAAAGTAAATTCTGATAAAATAAAGGAAACCCAGATTAAGTAAAGCAAAACCCAATTCAAATCCCAAGTTTTACTTTTTTTAAAAAAAGCAGCAGAATAGAAACGATTAATGAGGTAAAAGAGAGAGTTCGCATTACCTTCAAGTTCTTCAAAGTGCTGGAGAGCTCCCGCTTTGCCATATTTTTCCAGTTTACTTCTCTTTCAAGACAGCACCAAATAGTAACAAGCTTTACAAGCGTCTCTCTCCTCCTCCTCCTCCCTATCCCTCCGCTGAGTCTGTGTAAGAGCAAAGAAAGCAAAACTCTATTATTTTTCGTCGAAGAAGACGTTCTGTTAATTTAGGGCTTCAAAACACGTTCTCCCCTCCTGGTCTTGGTTCTGTTAGGCCCACCTGATACATTTATTTGAGCTAACCCAAAACGAAAGTCTCCCAGCCCAATAAGTTAGGCTAACCCAAAAAATAAAGTCTCCGATTTTTTTAGGATTTTTAGAGCGAAAGAAGAAACTCTCCTCCTTTCTAAACCTATAAAAGCCGGAGAGAGCACTACCTCTTCTTAAAGAGCTGCTGCTGCTCCTTTCACCGACTGGATTCTCCGTCGCAGCTCACCGCATTTTTCATCGTTCCCTAGGACCCAAGGTTTTGATCTAAGATTCCTATTTTCATTTATTTACTAACTTTTCTGCGTAAATCTGACGATCTTAAACTTTTTTGTACTAGAATGAGCTGTTTTGGTTTTGATCGATGAGGATATGAATTGGGTAATGTTTTTGTCAACTAATTTGATTATTTTCGTTTGAATTTTGACAGTTCTCTATCAAAAAAATCCTGTGGGCTTAAGCTGTTGAAGTCAGTAGATATGGTATGTTATTGTTAACGACTTCTTCTTCTTCTTCTTCTTCTTCTTCTTTTCTTTTTGTATTTTGTTGTTGCTGTATTGCAAGCTTGCAAGATTTATTGGGCTTGATCAACATCATCGATGATCAATGAGAAATGGCTGTCTGAAGAATGATATTATATTGCATAACTCTATATTTTGAAACAATTGATAATCTATATAAGCCTGCTTATCATTCATTGCAGGAAAGATGCTAGAATGAATGTAAAGCAAAAGTTTAAGCATTATCTATGTTTAGAAACGTTAAATTTTATGTTGCTCGAGTTTCAAAATGGGTTCTAAAGAAAATATAGTAATCTAACTGCATATGTTCATCTTAATCCTTTGTTTTGACGATTGTAGGCTCGTCAAGACCACCACAGTTCATCATTTGAGCAGAGTTACCGCTGCTACCCTGTCTCTTTCATTGATAAGGTTAGAGAAATAGCTACAATTAAATTCATGTTGGTTATTCAAATTTTTTGAGTGGTTGTTTTTCCTTTGTTTAATGACGTAGTGATATAGCTATATGGTAGCTTGTATGTGTATACGAAGAAAATGTTTGTCAATCCATAAAAATATTTGACTTCTTTCGATTTCAGTCTCCTTTTATACAAATCACGATGCTTTGGTTAGCTTCTCAATTATTGCGTTAATGTTTTATTTTAAATTTGCGCTTAAGTTATTTGAATCTTTGCAGGCACATCTGGAAAAGGGGGATAAGAGTATGTTCATCTTCTCATTCAAGTTCTATTATAGTGTCCACCTCTTTTTTTAACAATAATAATAATAATAAACAAACAAACAAGAACTGATAATCAATTATCTCTTGTTGCATTCAGTTATTATGCCTCCCTCTGCTCTTGATCGCCTTGGTAAGCAGATCGTTCTCAATAAACTTCCTTTTCTTTGTTTATTTTGTTCCTGTTAATGTATCTTGCTCCCTTAATCCCGATTTCAGTATTATACCTCCTTTAAAGATGATGGTGTTTGCTGCAGCAACCTTGCACATTGACTATCCAATGCTCTTTGAGCTCTGTAATCCTTCTGCTGGGCGAACTAGTCATTGTGGGGTTCTAGAATTTATTGCAGATGAGGGCATGATATATTTGCCCTATTGGGTATGCTTCTTACCTTTATTTTTTCATGAGTGTAATGGTTCTGCTATTATATGCTTCTTCATCGGCTTATTTGTTCTACACTTTTAGATGATGGAAAACATGCTGTTACAAGAGGGGGACATTGTGCAATTAAGAAATACCAGCCTGGCAAAGGGAACTTTTGTGAAGCTGCAGCCCCATACCAAGGACTTCTTAGATATCTCTAATCCCAAAGCAATGTTGGTTTATTTATTGGTTATATTCTTTTCTATGTGATTGCAGTAAGCTTGGTAGCCCATTTTATTCATTCCTTTCTTGCTTGATGATCATTTTCAGCTTGGAAACTTCACTGAGGAACTACTCTTGTTTGACCACTGGAGATACAATAATGGTTGCTTATAACAACAAGAAGTACTACATTGATATAGTCGAAGCAAAACCCTCTTCTGCAATTAGTATCATTGAAACAGACTGTGAAGTGGATTTTGCCCCACCTCTGGATTATAAAGAACCTGAAAAACCAACATCATTTCCTCGATCAAAGAAGACACCTCCTGAAGGTTCTTTTCTTCCTTTTATGTAAAAGATTTTTCCAGTATCTGAATTTATCTTTAATTATTGGATTTTTACCATTTAAGTCCCCTAAAACAATGGTTGTGAATCCTCATTTTTCAGGTATAGAAGAACCAGCTGCAAAGATGCCAAAGTTCAGTGCATTTACTGGTTCAGCAAGGCGCTTGGATGGCAAACCACTAATGCAACCAGCTACATCCACTATCTGTCCTGCGTTGAAACAACGTCAACAAGAGGCTGAGAAAAATGGCTCCAAGTTATCAAGCTCCTTATCACATCAGCAGTCTGGAAAGCTGGTATTTGGTTCAATCCCAACCCAACCCCAAAGTGAGACACCAAAGGTATGTCTTGCTTTGCTTGTGGTGCTGTAGATCGTGTCCTCATTATCCACAATGCACTTATTTCCTGACATCACCCACACCCAGAATGGGCTACTTAAATTGACCTGAATTGGTTTCAGGTTTCTCCAAAGAAAAGAACTCAGGAGCCTCCCCAGAAGGTGGAAGAACCAAAGTTCAAAGCTTTCACGGGGAAGAAGTATTCACTAAAAGGCTGAATCTCAACTCCTTTCTCCTCCTCCCTTTTCCAAGATATTCAAGATGGGATCAGCTGATTTTGGTTATTTAATAGTATGTTTTTTTGTTACCAAGTAATTATATCTTCTGAACCCAAAATTGATTGTACATGTCCAAACCTCGGAAGAGCACCCAATCACTTCCGTTTAGTGTATAGGTCTTCAATGGATCCTTCTCTTTAGTATATTAATTCTTAAGATAAAACTCATCAGGCTGTTAATGACTCATTTTGTTTTGTTTTTTCTTTGTTTTAAATGCTTTGATGTTCTGTACACAGCGAAAGAATTTGATTGAGGCAGACCTCCTCTGATGCTCAGACTAAAATATTTCAGCCGCATCAAACAAGCACACAATTCTAGGTGTTTATGATGGTGTAAAATCACAAAATTCCTCATGAGAGGCAGAGCCATCATGCCGATTATTCACGTATGCAATAGATCAGCGCAATTATTAACAGAATGATTTTTTATTTCGAATAAACTATCATTATTATTAGCAAGTAAATAGCATTTAGATGTTCAGCCCCACCTGATACAGATGGTAATGGCAAAAGTGCCCAAGAGAAATATAATAATACAAGCTAAGCTTTCACAGAGGTCTCAATTGCAACCTTTCTGGAATACTTGATGCCTTCAGACTTCTCAGTGGCTTCCCAGAGTTCTGGCAGTGCTTCCTTGATATTATGAATGCTCTCTAAAGCACAGTCCACGCCTTCAGTTCGACGAGAAGAGCCCACCTGTATCAGCACCATTAAAGTTCGTTGATATTATGGGTCGTTTTCAAAGCAAGGGGAAAGAAAAAATGGCAGGTTTTTTTAATGCATCCTTTGGGCAGGGGTTTGTTCCTGATCCCATATCATCAACTTACCCAAACAGTGTGGAGGCCCAATCTTTTTCCAGTCTGTAAGTTACGGATGCTATCATCAAAGAACAACTGAAAAGCAAGAAATCACTACGTTAGATAATTGAAGATCGTAATAGGAATAAGTTGCATATTTTTACATGACAGCACGTTCTAAAGCTAATCTACACGTTGATTCAACTTGCAAACGATATAAAAATCTAAAACCAATGAGTTTTTGCATTCAAAAGTTGGATTATCTGACCGTCTTTTGAGGGTTGATGCTGGCAATCTTAAAAACCTGCTCAAATGCTTCCTCAAAAGGTTTGCAGACTACTGTGGTCCTTGGAAGTACAAGGTCAGCATCAGGACAAGTAGCATATTCATTTACGTCAAAAACCCCTGCTTCATCCCCATCAACAGCATCATTTCCTTTCTTAGCATCATTCAAAGTTTCAAAGCATATGATCCTTTCAAAGCAATCCTCCAATCCAAGCCTGTTAAGGACTCGACTCGCATGGGTCTTATCAGCATTGGTAAAGACCTTTCCGATAAGAACACAGGATTGTCAATCACCAGCAGAAAGCTAATATATAAACCAAATAGGCTTGTCCCAAATGCAGTTCTTTTAAGAGTATGCAACAAAGGAAAGAAACTTACAACTTTTCGAACAGGCAAGTTTAGTAAAATATTCCCAAGGACAAGGTCTGGTTTAAGCAACTGATAGGGTAATCTCCCATGAACAAAACTGCAAAATACAAAAGCTTAAGACTACATCAATTTCATAAAAGATACTCCTTATATTAATATACATAGATGTTTGTACCCATGGAAGTCATCATAGTCAAATTTATGCCCAATTGCCTGAAGAGCATAAAATAAGGGGAAAAAAAAAAAACAGAAACCCTTTTAGTGAAATCACTCTAAATTAAGAAATCTCATAAAACAACAAGCAACAAGTTCTTGCATCACTACCCTGAGACCAGCCATGGTCGTCCCATAATACTTGTACAATGAAACACATAATTCCGGGACTTTACTTTCCTCAATGCCAAGCTTCTGGATCATATATTCTATAATAAAGCAAGAACAACCCGAATCATTTAAATATCATATAACATTAGCTTTAGGGGAGAGAGAGAGAGAGAGAGAGAATCAATACCTTGAATGTTTTGTGTAACACGGACTGATAAACCAGAACTGAGTGGATAAAGGGTATCATCAAGATCTGCAATTTAATAAAACCCATCATTTACATTATAGTATTTTATTAATCTTCAAGAGGAGAAGTCCACTTGGGGATAAAATAACATTAAGGGAAAATATTGATAAAAAAAAAAAAAAAGCTTACCAAAAAGGAGGCAATCATATTTGTGCTCCAAAACTTGTTGTTTCTCATCATCTTCATAAGACTCCATTTTTGTACTAACCAAAAAGAACAGCAGAATATTTGTAAGTTATTCAACTGTGGTTATTAAATGTGAAAAGAACCAATTTGATTTTTTTTTTTAAAAAAAAAAACAAATCCCACTTCTCTTAGTCTTACTGCTCAAATCTGGAAATTGAAATAACAAGAAGAGAAAGGGAAAAAGAAAAGAAAAAAACAAACAGTTTGGACTTTGGAGTTTTGTTATAGTTTGGTACAGAAACACATTGTTGTCCCAATGGACCAATTAAAAAGAAAAGACTTGACTGAAGTTGAGAGAGACAAATGCAAGCAAACAAAGAAACAAATTACCAGATCTCAACAGTTCAGACAGAAATAAAGTAGAGAAAGATCAGAAGCGACGAGGCAGAGCAAATATGGAAAAGATGTTAATTGTAGTCTTAAAGAGGAGTATGAGTGAATGAGAGTGGTTGAGTGAAATTAACGGCTAAATTTAATTTTTTGATTGGACGGAAACTCTAGATGAGACGCAAACTCGGGAAATCCGGGAGACACGACTTTTTACTTCTTGCTTTGGATTATTTATTTATTATTGTTATTGGCATGACTACAAATCAGTTACCAGTCTATGATTTTTCTCATGAATCAGTCATCAATCTTCCAATTCTTGCAAACATTGCTCGACGTTTCATAATAATAACTTTTTTCGTCCATTGATCAGCACTTCCGTTATCATGCTAAAAGAATAAAAGATATTGCATTGGAATTGGAATCGGATTGATTTAAATCATAATGGATTAATAATGTTATTCACATAATTGGTTCGATTTGATTTTAAAAAAAATTGGTTGGATTTGAAGCAAATTTGTCAAATTAGGTCAAGGTAAGGGAAATTTTTATTGAGACAAATATAAATAAAAATGAAACAATTTTTTGTATTAATTATCACGTCACCATTGTATCAGGCTTTGACACGTCTCAATCTCACACAGACCTTGACGTGTCTTATAACGGCCCTCCGCCGATACCCCGCTCTCGTCAGACTTTGGCCGGCTTTGATTTTGCTTACTTTGACAAGAGCACACGATTTGCAACGCCCTTGACGTGGAACTTTCTATTTTAAATTTGAAATTATTTTGGTAATTTTCTTCTTTCCTTTTCAAGTAATCACTTGGTTTCATTCAATTATCAGGAATAAAAAATCCAAAATAAACATAGAATAAAAATATAAAAATTAAAAAAATATTTATATTCTTATCTTGTGTTTGAAATACTAATGAAGAATTGAAGTGTAATTTAAATTTTTTAATATCTGATTTTTTATAAAAATAAAAATAATGATTAAAAAAAATCTTATCAAACTATAATAATTATAAAAATAATAAAAATAATAACGATGGTGGTTGTTGTTATAATGGTAATGACGGTGATGATTATGGTGGTACTTGTAGTGATCATGGTGGTAGAAGTAGTTAATAGATAATAAAATATATTATTATTTTGAAAAAAATCATTCTTACTTTTTATTTTTATTTTCATATTTTAAATTAAAATGAAGTTGTATATAATTTTCATTTTCATTTTTACTCTTCGTTCTCGTTCTCACTTCATTTATTTCAATCAAATAGTTATCACGTGAGAATAAAATTATTATTTTCATTTTCACTATTTTATTCTTATTACCAAACGTCACCTTAATTCACTTTACATTTTTTTACTTTTAAATTTATATTGCTCCGTTATTAGATGTTTAAGATATAGAATTTGTTGATTAGAACTTGATCAGATCTCTATGAATTTATTTAATGAGCATGTTCTGTTGCGTAGAGTTGTAGTTTGCATTTCAATAACAAATAACTAAAGGTCTTTTTTTTTTAAAAAAAAAAACTACACAATAAATAGAGATAGCTCTCCTTGTTACATTACAATGAAAAAAAAAATTGATTAATCAAACATCCTTGTACAAGTAATAGTAACGTAAGATGAAATGATAAAAATAAAATAGAATAGAAAAGATATCATTTGATATAGTTTAGAAAAAGATGATTTCTTGATATTTGAGGGGATAATTGGAATAAGGACACTCCAACTTTGATTATATCTTAATTTTAAATAGTCAACCATGTTATCTCATTAGTTATTATCCAAGATCATTGAGCCCAAAAAAAAAAAAAAAAAATCATTTGGTAACAAATTGGGATATTAATATCGAAGTGATATGTTTTAAACATAGTAGCATGAAGAAGACGCATTGTAGAACAATACTTAAGTTTGAAGGAATACATTCCATTTTGCAGATGTCAATACAAAACAAAAGTAAGCAAGAGATTCGATCACATGGATCCCATTATAAATTATAGAGAAAGATGCCAGCTTTTGTGTATGGATAAGGCCATGATCTGTTTCTATTCTTAGAATTTGGTGCGAGGTCCGAAATAATAAACAAAACAGAGAATCATGATTTGCTTATTTAGATTTATATAAGAGAGAGAGAGAGATAGAGAGAATTCTTTCTGGTGATATAAACACATTTGGATTGATGTTTAGTGATGGTTTGAAGAAGCGGGTTTAAAAGATTGAATAAGGCAATCCATATATCTAGAATTGTTCTTTCTCTGACCCTTTTTCAATTTCTTTGATCCGAAGTTTTTCTCACAGGACATCCAGAAATCTCTTGTAATTACTGCAACACTTCAACCCGATACAATACGGATTTATTTTTATTGTTCGAGAAGAGTTAATAACTTATTGCCTATTACCTAGGTGCAAATAAATATGCTACATCTTCTTGGTTTCAACATAATTAAAAGTATTTTAATCAGTTTTTATGCATTGAGATTAAATCCTATTTGATTGAATCCTAAAATAACCATGTAATAGTAACTTGAGTTGTATCGTCACAATGGATGCACAGTTTTAACATCCGACCTTGCAATCCCTAGTTGTTTATTAATTATTATGCAACTTTTTTATGTATATTTACAAGTAGTGAGATATTTGTGAATTTTTTAAACCCTCACAACTAATCCTCTATGATTTATGATTGACCAGCCTTTTAGAAACATTGATACTGTGGTATTACTCAAGTAACTTGGTGTTTTAACGAGAAATATTGATGATTAATTGGTGGAATTCATATTTGCACAAAGTTTGAGGGTTAAAATGAAAAAAGAAATAAATAAAAATACGCTTCATTGATCATGATCATATAGGTAGAGATACAAATTCATCAGTACTGCACAAATTGCTGGTAATTAAGCTAGCTAGTTAGGCAGTGACAGTTGTCTCAATGGCAACCTTTCCTGTAAAGCTTATGGCTTCTGACTTATCACCATTTGCTTCCCATAGGACCGACAATGCTTCCTTCATGTTATGGATGCTCTCCAGCGCATAATCAGCACCATTTGTTCTGTTGGCTTTGCCCACCTTTCAAAAAGTATTCCCGATTCGTCAGAATTTATAAAGGAAAATGTTGGGAAAAAACATGATAAGAATCACTCAAGCGTTTCATTTATACCAGTACAGTGTGGAGACCCATTAGCTTCCCGGTCTGTATATTTCGAACGCTGTCATCAAAGAATACCTGATAAAGAAAGCAAATTAAGTATCAATAATGTCGTGCATGGATAATTAAAAAGGAATACTTTAAGAATTAATATTGTTCAGGAATTAGTTAGACTGAGCAATATCAGAATAATATATCTTGGATACGTAGTTAAAAGAGGAAATTATTAAATTTCCAAGTACTTTTGAAATGCTACTTACTGTTCTTTGAGGATCGATGTTAGCCAACTTAAAGGCCTGCTGGAATGCATCTTCAAACGGTTTGCAGACTACTGGAGTTTTTGGAAGTACTGAAACAGCATTAGATTGACCATGAAGGTTAATGATATCAAGAATTTCGCTTTTGGATGTATAACTTGGAATCGAAGCTCCAATTTCATCAGGAGTATTAATGGCTTGGTAATTATTGGGATTAAGAGTTTCAAAGCAAATAACCCCTTCAAAGCAGTCTTCCAATCCAAGCCTGCTCAGAACCTTAGCTACATGGGCTTTATCCGCATTTGAGAATATCTATTTCATAAAACCAAAAAATCGTCAGAACTAAGGAAGCTTAATTTGTCGATGATTGTCTTCTTGTATTTAAAAGGTAGCCTAAGGAACTTACAACTTTACGAATTGGCAAGCTAAGCAAAAGACTTCTTAGAACATGGTCAGGTTTTAGCCTCTCATAAGGCAATCTCCCATGAACAGATCTGTAAAACATGAAAGATGTAAGTAATCATTTATATAGCAATACTCCATTCATTTAGAATAAGACTAAAGCTATGGGGATATTTAATTTGGGACGTACCCGTGATAGTCATCGTTATCAAAATCGTAGCCAATAGCCTATAAAGAGGGGTGGGGGGAATTGCAGAACATCAGTAAATCCGTTTGGATTTGGTAAAAGGGTTGTCAAAATGATTTCATTTTTGTTACATTAAGGCCATACCTTGAGACCTGCCATGGATGTTCCATAACTCCTGTACAGAACACTATTCATTTGAGAGACTTCAGTTTCTTCTATGCCAATCTTCTGAACCATGTATTCTGGACAACGATATGCAGAAGTAATTTATTATGTATGCATCTAATTAATTAAGGAAGGAGTAAACAATAAGCAGAAATTGATATCGGAATTATTTGATCATGAGTCATGATGTAGGGCATTATGTATATATACCGTGAATATTCTTGGCGACTTCCTCTGATAAGCCAGAACTTGGAGGATAAAGCGTATCATCAACATCTACGAAAAATGACACATTTCATGTCGTATAATACATGGGCTATGGATTTTTAACCTTCAAAAAAAATTCTGATTGAATGAGGGTTGCTTACCAAAGAGAAGACAATCGTATTTTGGCTTCAAACTGTGCCGACACTGATCTTCATAAGCCATTTTGATACAAAAAAAGACCTTTGGGGGGCAAAAAAAAAAAAAAAAAAAAAACAGAGAAGCAGAGAGCGTTTATTCAATACATAAATACAGAAATTGTGCTCAAAAGTACTCCTACTGTCCATGACCTTTTTTTGGTAGAAATAATTACTTAATCTGATAAACATTGTGTCAATGATTTTGAACTGAATTCTTAGGATTGTTGAGCTAATTAACACAATTAATGCATATCAAGAACACGAAACTGGTCTTCAAATGCGGAGACCACCTCATCAAACAACACATATTTAGTGAGCAGGAGTGCTGGAGTTTGATTATCAGAATGAGGAAATTACAGTGAGATATATAAATGGTCATTTCTAACAATTTGCTACCTAGAAAGTAACGGGCAATGGAATAAGAGGGGAAAAACCTCATTCCACCTTAAGCTAAACATCAACCTTGCATATGCAATTAATGTTGCAAAATAAATTAAGGACGCTAAGTACCTGAAAGAGAGGGACGGTGGAGACAGAGAGAGAGAGAGAGAGCAGTATTGTTATTGAATGGTGAATTTAATTACGGATTTGGGACAGAAAGAGAGTAGAGATGATGATTTTCAGAACTGAAGGCTGTGGCACATATTTAAATGTATAATGGTGCCAGGAAGAAGAGACGGGCTTCCTCTTTCTTTCTCACCGGGTCCAACAATCCAGAAACGAAAACATGACCACTTTTGGTAAATGGAAAAAACACGGCAGCATCTGTTTGACTTCTTAATTAATCAAGAAAACATAAATATGTAAACTCCGTAGAAAAGTCTCAAACATCATCATTATTCATGCCTCCACATTAATACGCATTATCTTTATATATATATATAGAGAGAGAGAGAGAGAGAGAGAATATTTTTTATTTAGCAGCTCTTGCATGCTTTTGTGTTTACATTATAATATTTCTCAAGATGATTATATACTGAGATGATATAATATAATCCAACGACCACCAAATGAAGAGGTTGTGGCAGTTGAGGTTAAACGAAAACAAAACATCTTGAAAATGCCTCTCTCTACAATTAATTCAACTAATTTGTTTTATGGTCAGAATTGGTAATATGATGGTTAGAATGTTACTCCTTAATTAGGTCGGGGTAGTTCATAGTTTTTTTTTTTTTGTCAATCAGTAATATTAATTAATGGATTATCGTGAACGAATAAAAGTGTGATGGGCGTGGGTGGTGTCTCCATGTCTGAAAACAAGAAAGGAATTAATTAAACTTGGACACGAATAAGTGACATTATGGGCAGATGCATAATCAATCCATTGCATACATATATAATACTATGATCTTATATTGATTTCGACAAGGCACAAGCTAGCTAGGACACATTCATTTCACATGTATCAGCATCATCTATGTTTTTTTTTGCTGTATAATATTATGTACAAGTCAGTAGGCAGGTGGTGACAAATAAATGAGGTTTGTACCTAATAGTTTATTTATTCTTTATGACTAAAGTATAAAAAAATATTAAAGACCACATCTTTTTCGTTTTTTTTTTCTTTCTTTTTAAAAAATAAAACTCGACTAGTTAATTAATTCTTTCATATATATATGTATATATATATATATATATATATATATATATATATATATATATATATATATATATATATATATTGCTAATTATTTGGTGAAGTATTGTTTTCAAATCCCGCTAATTTCAAACCTTCACACGTTTTTGACCCTTTTTAATTATTCTTTCTAGTTCTAACAATTTGTACGTTTATGTTTAAAGAATTAGTTTGATAGTTAGGAAAATTTGTTCCTTTTTTTTATATTTTAGATTCACATTTTTTTTTCAAGCACGTGTCATGTTACGATCCTTTGGTTTTCCAAGCATTACTTGAACATGAAGCCTTGGGTGGGTGGGTATGTATGCTAAATTATAATAATTTGCTAATTTCTGGTTTTTATTTGTTTGACTACTTTGAGTTGAGGCGTGTATACTTTAACTCATCATACACTTTTACCCAATGCGTACGACACACGATTAAGGGTGGGTTTGATATTATTACATCAAAATGCACAAAAGATGGAGTTCTGGTAGAATTATTTGATTTGTCTCCATGCATGATTCTTCATATTTTACTAGCAAATTGTGGTTGAAAAACGAATGCTTTCTTCCATCCCGACGTTAAATCTTTTCTTGTTTGTGCACCAGATTTGGGAGCCAAATGAGTGATTAATCATAAATTTGCTATTTTTACTCTTGATATTTTTTATTTAATATAGCCCTCCTATTTTTATTTTTTCAAAATATATATATATATATATATATATATATATATATATATATATATATATATTGTTGTCGTTATGGTTCAAGAAAATTTCTTAACATGGTCTTTTCTATTCAATTTATCTTTAATTCTTGATTTATGGTTTAATATGCGCCTGGCACGTGTTCGCTTTTTGTGATGTATTGTTAAAAATTAATGGTAAATTTGAAGAAAGTTGGACGAAAAGACGAAATTAAAAATAAATAAATAAGACACGTTAAGAAATATGAAGAGTAAAGTACAAAACAAATGAATTAATCCGCCAAATGAGTGTTCAAATTAACATCGACTCGACATATGGTTGAACGTCCGCTTGCTCATTTCAATTAAAGAATCATGACCCTGAAACGAGAGATTCAATTCAAGATTTTCGTTGCTAGCAACGACCAAAGGAGTAGATTCAACAAATTACTACAGTGGGTAAAACTTAAGAAGCCTTCAATTCTGTGTAAACTCAAATATTCTCCAAAACAAATAAAATTTCAGTCAATTAAAACCTGCAATTTTAAATTGATTTTAAACATTCTCAAATAAAAAGAAAAGGAATTCCTTTCTAGAAGTGTTCTCTTCATTTTATGAGACTTTGTTCTTTTAGTACACAGTATGTTCTTTTAGTACACAGTATAAGATATCCATGTACACTCGCCAGCTTCGCTTTTAAATTTATTACTTCCCCCAAAATGAACACTGTGCAAGGGTAGAGCAGCTGGTAGGCCGGCATTGCTTGTCTCCTGAAAATTTTGAATTAAAGATGGCAATGATCACAAATGGCCAGTTTACAAATTACATTTACCTAAGAAAAAATGAAAATAGATTATTCAATTTAACACAACCACACTGTTGTCCCCACAATTAAGCCGGTACAACCTCTATGGGTGAAGATTGATCTTCATCCCCATCACTACTAGCTGGGGTTTCCACTTTCTTCTCTTCCTCTTCAAACCCTTGCTTAAATATGTCATAGTTTGAGACCTCACTTGCTTTGAATGGCCGCTCACCCAAAACTCGAATCAAGTCTTCTTGGTGGAGAACCTCCTTATCGAGCAACAACTCTGCAATTTGTGCCACTTGTTCTTTGTGTTCTTCTATAAGTTGGATAGTATGTTTATACGCCTTGCCCACCCACTCGCGCACTTCACCGTCAATAATTGCTCCCGTCTCATTGCTGTAGGGCTTGGCCATCTCAAATGAGTCCTCCTTTTGAGGGAAAGAGAGGAGACCCACCTTGTCACTAAAACCATACACTGCAACTTGAGCATATGTCATCTTCGTCACCTTCTCCAAGTCATTTTGGGCTCCTGTTGAAATTTTGCCCAACAAAACCTGCGTCCAAGAGAAATCCAAACATTATTTTCATAGCTAAGAGCTTGAAGGCATTCAAGTTATCCATTTTCAAATGTTCTGGCTTGAAAAAAGGTGCACATGATGGGATTTGGGTTGTTTTAAACACACACTAGCAAACTACATTAAAGCTATCATATGGAAAGGATCTGCCTTTCATTTCTCTCAAGCATTTCATAGTCCAACCCTCTGTAGAGAAAAGGATAGCATAGTAGATACCTGTTCAGCTGCTCGGCCACCAAGTGTCATGCAGGTCATATCAAAGAGTTGCTCCTTGGTCAAGAGTAGGCTTTCATTTGGAACATACTGGGCAAACCCCAGAGCAGCTGTACCTCGTGGAACAATTGTCACTTTCAAAAGTGGCTCTGCATGCTCCAAAAACCAGCCAGCAACAGCATGACCTGATTCGTGATAAGCAACAGTTCTGCGTTCAAGCTTGCTTATTACCTGTTTTGACAAAACAGGAACATCAAATCTCACCATGAAGGTTCTCGAAAAGAGAATAACTAAAAAAAACAAAATAACCATTATTCTGCCAAGTAAAGATCCTCAACTCACAACTGGGACTCCAGATGTCAGAGATTCTTCTAAGCTAGATTACCTTAGACAGTTCAAATGCAAAAACTAAAGAAGATTTACCTTGTTCTTCTTCTCCAAACCACCAATGACTCGATCTACAGCTGCCTCAAAGTGCTCCATTGTAACCAGTGATCCTTCGTTCCTTGCAGCAATTAGAGCAGCTTCATTACAAACATTTGCAATGTCTGCTCCAGCAAATCCAGGAGTAAGGGCCGCAAGCCTTTGGGAGTAATATGATGGCTCATGATCAAGTTTAATCTTTTTCAAATATATCTGAAATATCTGGTCACGGCCTTTGATATCAGGTTTGTCAATGGAAATTTGGCGGTCAAATCGGCCAGGTCTCAACAGAGCTTTATCTAAAATATCAGGGCGATTTGTACCAGCAAGTACAACAACTCCGGAAGTAGTTCCAAAGCCATCCATTTCTACAAGTAACTGATTAAGGGTACTTTCCCGCTCATCATTAGAACCAGAGAACCCTCCACGCCCTCTTGCTCTTCCAATCGCATCAATCTCATCAATGAACACAATACTAGGAGCACACTGCCTCGCTTCTTGAAACAAGTTTCTCACCCTGGACGGTCCAACACCAACAAACATCTCCATGAAATCTGAACCAGATATAGATAGAAAAGGTACACCAGATTCCCCAGCAGTTGCCTTTGCTAGAAGGGTCTTTCCAGTTCCTGGAGGACCAACCAAAAGAGCACCTTTTGGAATCTTCGCTCCTAGCTCCTCATACTTCTTAGGGCTCTTGAGAAAGTGCACAAACTCCATGATTTCTTGCTTTGCCTCGTCACAGCCAGCAACATCTTTGAAATAGGTCTGCAGTCCCAACAAGAGGGGAAGACCAACAAATAGTAATAAATATCTTTCGCAATAAAATTCGTACAAAGAACATGGGTAATGCAATAAATTGGTAAATTTATATATTTAACATGAGAGAGACAGATAGCAAACCTTATTCTTAGAATTTTTATCCACTTTGGTTACATGGGCCTTCCCTATGCTGAATATTCCACGGCCACCCTTTCCACCACCATTAACACCTAATCCACCCTGCAGTCTCCGTCCCATGTAAATAAGGGTTCCCAAAATGAGTAGTGAAGGTACAAACTTCATCAGTTCTTGGTACCAAACCACTTCCGAGGCATATGTAACTGGAACATGGTCATGAGGGTCTATCCCTAATGCTTCTTGGGCTTCCTCCAACTTCTCCTCAAACGAGTCAACACTTCCTATAGTGAAGTAATACTTATATTGGCCCCCGTGTCCTCTAGCAGGGACACCATTAACTGGACCTTGAACCATATCATCACTTCTTTGATGCTGTGGTGAGCTCTTCACATACACTTTTGCAACTGATTTGTTAGAAACAACTATGTGATCCACTAGCCCTGGCTCCAAAAGTTTGTTTTTGAACTCTTGGAAACTAATCTGTCAAGAATAAAATACAAAAAAGCACACGAGGAGAAAATTAAGAAACAAACAAATTTGATCCATTCCTATTAAACCAATCAACACGCAAAAGTTCGAAAAAACACACGTTAAAAACAAAACAAAAACAAGAATTTACCAAAGAAATATCAAGCAAGCATTTATTTTATATATGGAACATGTCACCATTATTCAACTCTGCATGATAATGATAAGGAAAAAAAATTGAACAAGTTACACATATAATTAAATCAAGCAGCTGATGCTTAGCAAACCACATTAATTGGATGCGAACTGGCAATAGGTATTATGAAGTTAAGATGATGGAAACAGGTTCTTAGGCATAAACCACTCTGCCTCAGGAAATGATTTGGTTAAAGACACAAAGTTCATTAGCAGATAGAAACACATATAGTTAAATTGCAGAGGTAGAAGTTGTTAGGCAATTCATTCATCTATGGAGACTATTTTCAGTTACCTTCAGCAGTAGTTGTTATATTACTAACTTAAGGCCCCACTTCAATGAAATTTTTACTGTTATTTCTCTGAGCTAGCAGGATACAGTAGTTGATTATTTCAAAACTTTAGTTAAAAAATTGATGGAAATTTTTTAATAAGCCAATTTCTGGCAAGAAGAAGAAATGTCAAAGTGTGTATGCATACGCATGGGGGGTTGAGAACCAGATTTAAAGGGTGCGTACATATCCGCACAAAGGTATACTTCTAAAAGCAAAGGATGCTACACCAATAATTTAGTTATCAATTTAACAAAAGAACAACTCCTTGTCTTATCATTTCTTTCAGTTTATAAGACAAAAACATCATATGTTAAAACTAGACACTAAATCTTTGAGGAACAAACGTAGCAACACTGTGAATATTGATGCTGCTGAGTTGAAGCGCAGGTGCTTCTTGTATTTAAGAAAAGAAAAGAAAAAAACTCTCAATAACTCCACTTGTACTACATTCTTTTTAATATGTCGTTTTTGCAACCGTACCAAAAATACGTGAATACATAGCTTAGATTAGATGATCCTACTGATTTAGAAAACGATTCTGAAGTAAAGTTGAAGCTGAACCAAATAGAGTTAAGTTGACCAAAAAAAAAAAAAAAGCAGCTTGGATAACATGAAAATGAAGAAGCTTTTAGCATGCCAAAAAGTTAAGTGGCAGCATAAAATTGCGGAAAGGATATTATTAGCGTTACCTGTCGCTGGTCACCATCATTAAAAGAAAAGGGATGGAGCAGCATTTGAACCACAAACAAAGGGGCAAGTAAAAGGAATGCCTTCATGAATGTTTTCTTATTAAAGTCCCACTCCTCATTGCCCGTATTCGAATTCTCTGAAATTGCGAAAACAAGAATCGACAAAAAAATAAATTGTTTAGGGTTCGTCGTTCAAAATAAGCAAAATCCAATTTACCTTTGGACTCAGATTTCTGGCCATCCCCTTCTGGAACTTCCTTCTTTTCCTTGGGATAGAAGTTCTCATAATCTGCCAATCAATCAGAAAGTCCAGTAAATAATAATAAGACAGTGTTTGGCTACAAACTACAGCATTTCTAAAGCACGTATCTCATGACATCCAAACAGGCATCAACTCAGAAAAAGGAAATTGGAAGCTTACTCTTTTTCTTAGGAGCTTCATTGGAGAAAAAGCGTCGGATTCTAGGGTTAGCAAGAATGAAATTTAAATCGGATAAATAAGAAGACTTATGAGTTCCTCCCCTTCCAATTGAAGTTAAATAACCTCTTAATAACCCTAATCCTCCTCTTCCATCGACGAACCCGTCTTCTATTTTGTTAATAATCGACGACGATCTCACCGCACCAACGCCATTGCCAGCACGCAGTATATTCTATTAATTGAAAAACAAAATCAATCGATCAATCATTTCAATAAAATTCAAAAGAAAAAAATAATAATAACTTACAATAGAGCGAGAGGATCGAGATAATGAACGGCCCAGCTTCGAAAATATCATTGCTTTCGGGATTTATCTAAAATGAAAGATGCTTTTGTAAGAAATATGAGATTTTCTTTTTGGTTTTTGTTTTTGAACATAAAACGAAAAATATATTCATTCGTGTACAAACCAAAAGCTGAGGTAAAATAGCAGCTGTGTTTTCCTAAATTATATAAGGAAGAAATGGAACAGTAGTTAGTTTGGGCGCCTGCCAGATACTTTGGTCTCCTTTTTCTTTTCTTTTTATTTTATAGGATAAATAGATGAATGGATGGGTGGATATTTGGGCAACGGGCAGGCAGGGATTGTTGAGGTGACGTCGGCCATAATTCTAATTGTAAACTTGCAAAACAAGACACTGATCCAGGAAAACATGTGAATCATTAAAGAAAAAAAAATTTGATAACGTATATTATATTATATCATATTAGAAGTTTGTTAAAATATATTAAATTAAAAAAACTATCTAATTATCTAATTTATTTTTTCTTATTTTTTTCATAAATTTTATAGTTAAAAAGCATAATTTATTTTTTTAATGTATTAATTTTTTAAATAAAAACTTGTAATAATCTAAATAGAATATTTAATTCATAATTTTAAAAAATATCTTAATATTTTTTCATAAATTACATTAAAAAAGAAATAATTAATATGAAAATTAACAACTGAATATTTTTTCATTCTTATTTAATTCGATGAAAATATTATTTTTTAAAAAATATATATATTTGATTTATATTTAGTTATTCACAAAATAATCAATGATATTAGTATAAAAAAAACTATATTTGAATTATTGGATACTTCTCCTAAAACATTATTTTAATTATTTTATTTAAAAGAAACTGATTTTATAATGTTAAAAAATAATAACAACAAATTATAAGTGTTATGTGTGTAGACGCATAACTAATTTCTAATAAAACTAATTATTTTAGTTTTTTTTATATACATCATTGACCATATTCATTGAGTTCAAAGCATGCAGTATAAATAAAAAAACATTTAATAAATAAATAAATTTCAAGGAATATGTTAAAATTAATAGATTAAAGTTAAAAAAATATAAAATAATAAATTTTAATTATATAAAAAGAAGCAAATAAAATACGGGAATTCAATTTTTTGTAACTGATTTTTTTATAAGATTTGAGAAAAAAATATATAAAATATACGTTTAGCTTTTTAACATCCTCATTTAAAAATCATGAGAATCAATAATAAGAATTATAACTATATATAAAAAAAAAGATTAAATAATTATATTCTAAAATTGCATTAAAAATCCATATATGAAGAAAAATAAATCATATTTATTAACAAATAAAATTATAAAAAATATATAATTAATTTCATCGAATTTCTATAAGAAACGAAAAATAAAAAAATTAATTTTAAACAATAAAAGTAATATAATGCGATTTATATGTTCATTTAAAAAAGATAAAAAAAATTTTATTCTTAAATTTTATTCAAAAATCCATACATATATAAAAATAAATCATATTTATTAACAAACAAAAATATATATATATATAAAATAATTTTATGAGAATTTTCATAAGAAACAAAAAATAAAAAAAATCAATTGTAAACAAAAAATTAAAAAAAAATCAATTTTAAACAATGCGAGTAATATATATATATAACTTCATTCTAAATTTTTAAAACATACCATATATGTTTTATCGCCATCAACCTATGTAGAAAACAAAAAAAAATTATAATTTTTGCACCTAATTCGATAATATTTTTCTTAAAAAAAATATATTTAGTAGAAAACAAAAGCAAGAAAAAAAATTAGAAGCATTTCAATGTGCGCACGGATGTACTTTAGCATGGACGAGCCCGCGGGATGGAGGAGATCTCACTCTTTTTATATGTGGTCGTGGTAGCCGTTGTCATTGACGAAGAAGGGAGATCTACGTTGGTAAAGATTTCGACCTTCTCTTCCTTTTTTTATGTAGATTTCCGATGAGAGTAGTGGGTTCTAAGGCTTAAAATCTAGCCAAAGATGTTCCTTGGACTCGTTGGAATGTTTTTTAGGCCTTTAGACAATTGATGTGGCTGGAAAATGATGTTGGAATAAGGTGGGTATAAATAGGTTGCATTTGGTTTTCTCTTTGATTCAACCAATTTCTAGTGGGATTTTTTTTGGATTTTAGGAGGAAACAACTTTTAAGAGGATGAGAAGTGTTTTTGTGATGGTGGTAGCTCCTAGTTTCGTCGAAAAATAGCTAAATCCAAAAGAGAAGGGAACAAATGAGTCGTGAAAAATCTCACCTATTTTTGGTAATTTTAGGTGTGTTTTTTGGTTGGTTTTTTTAACGGGGTTTTGGTCAAATTTGGGTGGGGAACATTTTTGAGTTGTTTTGAGAGTTCAATTTGGTGGGGAATCTATCAATTTATAAGAAAAATGCAAACACGTCTTCTTGTAGATAAACGGATCATACGAGTTACTACATTTTTTCTAAGGGCTATGTAGCTTATTTTTCAAAATGGGTTGTTTGTGTGGAGGTTTTAAGGGTGGTGGAGGGTGTCTAGATGTGTGGAAGTCCTATGGTGTCTATGGGTGGTCGGTTGCACTCTTGGTTGGTAAGGTTTTTTGAGGACTTGTTGTTTTTGGTATTTGTAAAAAATGATGAATAGTGTCCAACGTCTAGAAAATGGGAAGGAGAGGGGTATTTATAGGAAAAAAATTACAATTTTGGATAAACATCAATTTTGGTCCCTAGTCCCTTCATGTTTTTTCAATTTTGGTGCTATTTTGCTTATTTGAACTTCAATGACACATTTTAATTGAAATTAATCAAAGCCTCTTCTTTTAATTTCTTTCAATTGCACTACTTCTTTGCTTTAATTAAAAATCTTAAGTTTTAATCCTTTCCATTACACCCTCAATTAGTTTTTTTTTATCCTCTCACTTCGTTTTTTTTTAATTGAATCCCCCAAATTATTTTTTTCAAATATTTCTTTTTTTCTTTTCTATCTCTATCTTTTTTTGTATTTTCTTTTAAATCACAAATTGAAAAATTAATTGAGGTAAAAATCAAGTGCTAATAATGGTTTCGAAGAACCAACTTTATGGATTTGTCGAGGAGACCAATTCTTTGAGTTTTAAGGAACTACTCTCGAGGATCAAGTTTGGATAATGGCCTATCGCTTAGAGAAGGATGCAAAATTATGGTACCGGTGTTGTAAAAATCAAAGGCATTTAATAACTTGAGAAGAAACGAAGGTAAGTTTGTTGGAATGATTTGTTGTCATTGAATATGTACATTTCTTTGGTGACATGCAAATTAAAATAGACAAAGTTTTGTCTTTGAGTATCGAGCCCAATTTAAGCGACTATTAGCTTCATTCGGTTCTCTCACGAACAAAAACAAGAGGCAAAATGCTTCATTAGTGGATTACGTGTCGATGTAGGGGTTTAGAATCCATAGACTTTAACTATGGTTATTGGGCTAACTTGAACCAATGAGTCCAAAACCCATGATGTATGATGCCCACCTAATATAGCATTTCTTACATTTGCGTCATAGTAGCACACGATGAAGCATGACTACCACTAAGGCAAGCAAGGGCATTACCCTCGAGCATACTCTCCCAATACACGAGTTCTCTCCGGAAGAACTACATTGATGATAAGAACATGGTCTATACTACAACTACGATAAGAAGTATACATTTGGGCACAAGCGTAAAAAGTTATTTCTTATTGATGTCGAAGAGGAATTAGAATTTTCAAATAATGTGGAAGAAGATAGCCATAATTGTGGAAGAGATAAGATGCATGCTATCTTTTTACATGTATATAATTCCGAATCGGTAAAACTCCACTTATTGTTTTACTTGATTCTAGTTCTACTCATAATGTTTTTCATCACGGACTTGCAAAGGTGGCTAGCCTTGGGCTTGAGATTGGTTGTTTGCTCAATATATATAGTGGTTGTTAATGGAGAAAAATTATCAAGTCTAGGTCGTTGCACTAAAGTGCCACTTGTCATTACAAAGTACAATAATAAAAGTAGATTTTTTCTTACTATCTTTAGAGAGTTGTAATGTTGTTTTGGGGGCCTAGTGGTTGTGCATCCTAGGTCCTATCTTATAGGACTTTGGATGGATGAAGATGTAGTTTAATATTGTTGGGAAACATGTATTGCTACAGAGGTCAACTTCCCTTAGACTTGTTGCTTCTTGAGGGAGAAATAATGCCAAATATGCTAAGGTAAGGACAAACATTTATGTTGCAAGTTTGTGTCATTCAACCAAATTGAAAAATCAAAACTAGTTTTATGGTAACCTTCGGTTCTGAAATTGATTCCTTATCGACTAAATTTGGTGATTTGTTTGAGACACCTATAGGGTTACCATCACCATGCACTCATAATCATCGATTCCCCTTTAATCCAGAAGCGGAGTCCGGTTAGTGTCCGGTCCCATCATTATTCATACTTTCAAAGATAAGAAATTGAACAAATGATAGAAGAAATGTTGACTCAAAGAATAATACGACCCAACCAAAATCCATTCTCCTCTTAGGTACTTATTGGTGAGAAAGCATGATTAGAGTTGGAGGTTTTATGTCGATTATAAGGCAATTAATGGAGTGACGAGTGAAGGATAAGTTTTCAATTCTAGTTATTGATGAGCGATTGGATGAACTATAAGGTGCTAAGTACATTAGGAAGATTGATCTCCGAGTCTGGCTATTTTCATATTTGCATAAATCCTAGGTATGTGTATAAAACAACCTTTCGAACTCACTATGGACACTTTAAATTTCCGATAATGCCTTTTAGGCTCTATAATGCTTCTTCCACATTTTCGAGTCTCTTATGAATAAAATTTTCAATGCTCGTTTATGGCAATATTTTCTAGTATTTTTTTATTACATCTTAATTTATAGTCACATTTGGTATGAGCATGAGAAACATGTTTGAATGGCATTTTCTATTTTGAGAACTCGTCATACTGAATTAAAAAGGGAGAAATGCCAATTTAGTCAAACTTAA